AAATCCTCATTTTTCTACAAGAAATTACCATATGAAACTCATCACAATTGAGTTTGGGGTGGCTGGGTGGGGCTTAATCTTTGTTTTTTTTATCTACAGAAAGTTTTGTTTCAAGAACAAGACAGTTCAACATGTTTTCAGTTTCTTGTTGGGAAAAGAAGACTTCGTATATTAAGAAAAAATGGGCAAAATATAAGCCCCGCCCACCCACCCCTTCTCAATTGTGATGAATGTTTTATTCATTGTGTGAGCTCAAGGGCGGAGTTTAATTACAAAATCCTCATTTCTCTACATGAAATTACCATATGAAACTCATCACAATTGAGATTGGGGTGGGTGAGTGGGGCTAAATGTTTGTTTTTTTGATATATAGTTTTCTTTCAACAACAGGATAGTTAAACATGTTTTCAGTTTCTTGTTGGGAACAGAAGACTTCGTATATTAAGAAAAAAATGGGCAAAATATATGTACCGCCCACCCACCCCTTCTCAATTGTGATGAATGTTTTATTCATTGTGTGAGCTCAAGGGCGGAGTTTAGTTGCAAAATCCTCGTTTCTCTACAAAAAATTGTCATATGAAACCCATCACAATTGAGATTGGGGCGGGTGGGTGGGGCTTAATCTTTGTTCTTTTTTTTCTTTATACACGTAGTTTTCTTTCAACAATTTTTTGGCCAAAGAATATCCCTTTATAATAAAAAACATAAAGTCAATCTATTATTCAATAATTTTGGACTGTACTCGTTTTTCTGGAAAACGTCAAGATATGAAAAACTGAAAAATCTAGAAATTGAACATTAAAAATTGAAAACTCAAGAAAAAATTCAAGTCAAATAGGCTGCAAAATCGCTAAAAGACCGATAATTTTAAAGAGAAGGGAGATTTATTTGGCTGCACTTCAGGGGCGAGGACAGTTCTGTAGACCAATTTTTTTCATCCGTGAAAAACTTCCTTTTTTTTAAGAATCCAAGGGTTTTCTAGAGTTTTTTTTTTAGTAAAGACTGAAAAAATCTTCGAAATCTCGTGGATTTAAGTTTTGAAAGTATTGGGAAAAAATCTCTGGGAACACCTGATTTTTTTTAAGAATTTAGTGGGCCTTAATTATCTTTTTTAAATACGTGGAATAATTTTAGGAGTCCCTTGTCTTTTGAGAAGAATCTTCAGGTTCCACTGTGTTTTATTTTTGAAAGAATTTGGAAAAAGCTCGGCAACCCTGTTGAGTTCTTTTTTTTTGAAAAAGTTTGAAAGAATTCTAAATCCACCAAGTGTCTTTTGTTCATACGTGAAAGACTCCCTTGTATTCTCTTTTTGAAAGAAATTAAAAAAATCTAATGGTTCTCTAGTGGCTTTTTTAAAAAGACTGTGAAAGAATCGTGGGTGTCGGTGTGTTTTATTTTTGAAAGAATTCCGAAAATTCTCGGGTAACACCTGATGTTCTGTTTTTGAAAGAGTTTAAAAGAATCTTAGCGTTCTTTAGTGTCTATTTTTTTTAAACTATGGGAAGAAATCTTCTAAGGAGTCCTTTGCGTCTTGGTTTTGCAAATAGTTTGAAAGGACTTCATTTTTTAAGGAATATGAAAGGATATTCTGTATTTATTTTAAAAGAATTTGAAAAAACCTGGGCAAGTCTGGTGTTTTGTTTTTGAAAAAGTTTAATCGTTTAATATGTGAAAAGTTTCCTTTTTTTTAAGAATCCTAGGGTTTTCTAAAGTTTGAAAGAAACTTCGAAATCTCGTGTATTTTGTTTTTCAAAGAATTTGGAAATTCTCAGGGAACACCTGTTTTTTTTAAGAATTTAGTGGGCCTTAGTGTTTTTTTTTAAATACGTGGAAGAATTTTAGGAATCCCTTGTATTTTGAAAAGAATCTTCAGAGTCAATTGTGTTTTATTTTTGAAAGAATTTGAAAACACTCGGTAACCCTGCTGTTTTGTTTTTGAAAAAGTTTGAAAGAATTCTAAATCCACCTAGTGTTTTTTTAAAACTCCCTTGTATTCTGTTTTTGAAAAAAATTGAAAGTATCTTAGGATCCTCTAGTGGCTTTTTCAAAGACTGTGGAAGAATCTTGGGAGCTGTTGTGCTTTAATTTTGAAAGAATTCGGAAAATTTTCGGGGAACACCTGACGTTCTGTTTTTGGAAAAAGTTTAAAAGAATCTTAGCGTTCTTTAGTGTCTATTTTTTAAACTATGGGAAGAAATCTTCTAAAGAGTCCTTTGAGTCTGATTTTTGCAAATAGTTTGAAAGGATCTCATTTTTTAAGGAATACGAAAGAATATTCTGTATTTATTTTAAAAGAATTTGAAAAAAACCTGGGCAAGTCTGGTGTTTTGTTTTTGAAAAAGTTTGAAGGAATTTTACATCGTCCTAGTGTCTTTTTTAATATGTGAAAAATATCCCTTTTTTTAAGAATCCTAGGGTTTTCTAAAGTTTGAAAGAAACTTCGAAATCTCGTGTATTTTATTTTTTAAAGAATTTGGAAATTCTCAGGAAACACCTGATTTTTTTTTAAGAATTTAGTGGGCCACAGTGTTTTTTTTTTTAATACGTGGACGAATTTTATCCCTTGTATTTTGAAAAGAATCTTCACAGTCAATTGTGTTTTATTTTTGAAAGAATTTAAAAAAAAACTCGGCAACTCGGCTGTTTTGCTTTTGAAAAAGTTTGAAAGAATTCTAAATCCATCTAGTGTTTTTTTAAGACTCCCTTGTATTCTGCTTTTGAAAGAAATTGAAAGTATCTTAGAATCCTCTAGTGGTTTTTTTAAAGACTGTGAAAGAATCTTGGGAGTCTGTGTGCTTTAATTTTGAAAGAATTCTGAAAATTCTCGGGGAACACCTGATGTTCTGTTTTTGAAAGAGTTTAAAAGAATCTTAGCGTTCTCTCGGTCTATTTTTTAAACTATGGGAAGAAATCTTCTAAGGAGTCCTTTGAGTCTGGTTTTTGCAAATAGTTTGAAAGGATCTCATTTTTTAAAAATATGAAAGAATATTCTGTATTTATTTTAAAAGAATTTGAAATAAACCTGGCCAAGTCTGGTGTTTTGTTTTTGAAAAAGTTTGAAAGAATTTTACATCGTCCTAGTGTCTTTTTTAATATGTGAAAAATTTCCTTTTTTTAAGAATCCTAGGGTTTTCTAAAGTTTGAAAGAAACTTCGAAATCTCGTGTATTTTATTTTTTAAAGAATTTGGAAATTCTCAAGGAACACCTGATTTTCTTTTAGAATTTAGTGGGCCTTAGTGTTTTTTTTTTTAAATACGTGGAAAAATTTTAGGAATCCCTTGTATTTTCAAAAGAACCTTCAGAGTCAATTGTGTTTTATTTTTGAAAGAATTTGAAAAAAGCTCGGCAACCCTGACGTTCTGTTTTTGGAAGAGTTTAAAAGAATTTAGTGTGCTTTAGTTTTAAAATAGTTTGAAAGAATTTTAGGGCTCATTGATGTATTTTTTAATACTGTGAAAGAATCTTCGACGTTCACTGCGTTTTAGTTTTGAAAGAATTTGAAAAAGTGTTGGCAACCCTAGTGTTTGGTTATTGAAAAAATTTGAAAGAATTTTAAATCCACCTAGTGTCTTTTTTAATATGTGAAAGACTCACTTGCATTTTGTTTTTGAAAGAATTTGGAAAGATCTTAGTGTCCTTCAGTGGCGTTTTTAAAAAGAATTTGAAAGAATCTTCGAGGTCCCGTCTGTTTTATTTTTGAAAGAGTTTAAAAGAGTCTAATGTGCCTTAGTTTTTGAAATAGTTTGAAAGAATCTTAAGGCTAACTGATGTCTTTTTTTAATAATGTGAAAGAATCTTCGGGGTCCATTGCGTTTTATTTAAAAAAAAATTGAAAAAATCTTGACAACCCTGGTTAAGAAATCTTTGAGTTCTATAGGAGCTTTTTGAAGACTGTGAACGAACTTTCAACAATGTGAAAGAATCTTAGAATTTCCGTGTGTTTTGTTTTTAATATCGTTTGAAAGAATTGTGATCGAACTTTTAGAGCTTTCTGTGTTTTGTTTTTGAAAGAATTTTACAATTTAATAACAAACTGTATTTTTTTTCTTTGGTACGTAAGTTCATTTGCATAATTCCCGACGTCTCTGTTTACTGATCGATCGATATTTGCGAAATGGCGACTATTAATAGCCTCTATAGTCAACATTTGACATTTAACTATGCATTTATGGTCTTTTAACATAAAAATTTTCTCTTAAAATTCCAATTGGAAATAGAGAAAATCATCTTCAATTTAATTAGAAATTACATTTATGTAACACAATTTAAAAACACCAGTGAACTACCTGTAAAAATTCCAAACAATTACATAAGACACGTTGCATTAATTCCAAATGAAATTTGAAAAATCATTTCATATTTAATGCACCAGCATCGACTTTCACTCCTAATAAACCAGTAAATCTTCTAGGAAAAAAATCATATTTCACAGCTTCGCCTCTAGAAAAACCCTCAAACCACACAATTTTTAATTAAAATGTATAATAAATTTATAAACATAATGAAAGAAAGTGACCACCTGTGACATTGAGTGGGCGCAATCACCAAATCTCCATCAGATCACCCATCAGCGATTTACACACCGTTTATGAACGGACATCCGTCTTACATAACCCACCTTCAAAAAAAAAAAATTGTAATCGAATCCTTGACTCGCCAAAACCACCTCACGTTCTAATTTAGGACAAAGTTCAGCGCAGCACTTTTTCTAGATTTTAAGGTTGTTTATGAGCACCGCAACATTCCAACAAAAGTGAAAAGACACTCGCTGTCGATGTTTCTAGAATTATAACAGGATTATCGAGGAAAGTGAGTCGGTTATGCTTCCGGAAAGCAAAGCCAGCTGGACAACAGGAAAAGTTGCACGCGATTTTGAGAAATTTACAATGGTGTACAGCCGGGGGGCACCATCTCGTTGAATCTAATTAGCTCAAATTGAATATCCTCAATTGTTTCGGTTAAGTTGTGTCTTTGTTTGTCTTTAGGCGTTTTTTTTCAGGTTTATCGTCAACGTGACGGAGTCTTTCCTGAGGAATTCCACAGTGAGGCACTACAAATGGTGCATGAATGTTCCTCCGAGGTGTTCGTTTTATACTACGAAGGTGATTAATGATAGTCGAATTGTGGTAAGTGCGAACAAGTGCGTTGTAAGTTCGTGATTATTTTTTTAATGATCAAATGAATGTCTTTCTATTGTTCAAGGCTGCAAATTCACCTATTACTTTCTCCTAACCTTCCGCAGAAACACCTACTCGTCTTTTAAATTTTAATGTCACGCAAGAGTGCTTTGTTAAACGATTTCCGACTTAGAGTAGGTCAACAATAATATATGTGATACTTTTTTCTGTGGAAAATTGTAAATAAACACATTTCACTCGCTGATATCGACAAGAAGATTTTTTAATTGGGACACTCCTTATTTCATAACATTTTCAAACATGGCGTTTGGCTTAATGCTAAGAGAATTCAACAAATCTGGAATTAAAAGAAAGTTCGTTTGTAGACATGTAATTAAAAGAGAAAAATAAAAATACACTTGAAAAACATAAGAAAACTGACAACTTTCAAACTTAATCACCCTGTATAAATAAGTCGAAGTACTGTTAAATTTTCTATGAGTTTGTGAAGGCAAGTTATCTTAAAAGTTTTGTACAAAATTTCAAATCCATTTTCAAATATGGCGGAGTTGAATTGTTTTAAATGGGGTCATTTTTTTCAAATCTACTGATTATAATCATTAGGTCCTTTTTTATAAGGAATATAATTCCATTAAAATATACAGGGTGCTACGTATAAAAAAGAAATGTATTAATTTAAATGAGATCGAAATTTTTTAAATGTAACACCCTATATACTTCAACAGCTTTCAAATTATTGGATTTCGATGGAAAAAAATAGTGTACTTCAAAATTCATAGCCCCCCCATTTTTAAAAGGTTCGAATTGTGCACAAAAATTTTACCACTTTGCCATACCATATTTATAGACACTGACTAGATTTAAATTTATTTCAAAAATTTTCCAAAAAAGTGGTTCAAATTGGTTAAATCGTCCAAAAATTGGTGTCAAATTATAGATAATCTTCCACCAATTACAAATTCGAAATCGCCGTCACGATGTCTGTTTCAATAAACACGAAAAATTAATTCAAAATTTCCAGAAAAATTGTTAAATTGGTTCAATCGACTGAAAATTGGTGTCAAATTGTATGTGATCTTCCGCTAGTTATAAATCTGAAATCGCCGTCACGATATCTGTTCAAATAAACACGAAAGCTGAATTCAAAATTTTCAAAAATTTTCCAAAAAAAATTGTTGAAATGGGTTTGATCGAGTAAAAATTGGTGTTAAGTTGTAGATGATCTTCCATCAGTGACAAATCTGAAATCGCCGTCACGATATCTTGTCCAACAAACACAAACAAAGTAAATTCAAAATTTCCAAAATTTTCCAAAAAATGATTAAAATGAGTTCAATCGAGTGGAAATTGAAGTCGAATTGTAGATAATCTTCTGCCAATCACAAATTCGAAATCGCCGTCACGACATCTATTCCAATAAATACGAAAAGTTAATTCAAAATTTTCCAAAAAAATGGTTCAAATTGGTTCAGTTGACTGAAAATTGGTGTGAAATTGTATGCGATCTTCCGCCAGTTACAAATCTCAAATCGCCATCACGATGTCTGTTCCAATTCCGAAAGCTGAATTCAAAGTTTTCAAAGATTTTCCAAAAAAATGGTTGAAATGGGTTAAATCGAGTAAAAATTGGTGTTAAACTCTAGATAACCTTCCATTAATTACAAATATGAAATCGCCCTCACGATATCTGGTCCAATAAACACGAAAGCTGAATTCAAGATTTCCAAAAATTTTCACAACAATAGTCGAAATTGGCTCAATCCACTGTAAATTGGTGCCAAATTGTATATAATCTTCCGCAAGTTACAAATCTGAAAGCGCCGTCACGATATCTGCTCGAATAAACAAGAAAAGTGAATTCCAAATTTTCAAAAATTGGTTTAAATTGGTTCAATCGACTGAAAATTGGTGTCAAAGTGTATGCGATGGTTCCCCAATTACAAATCTAAAATCGCCGTCACGATGTGTTTCAATAAACACGAAAACTGATTTCAAAATTTCCAAAAATTTTCCAAAAATATTACTAAGATGGATAAAATCACCGTCACGGTATCTGGTACAACAAACACGAAAAGTAAATTCAAAATTTCGAAAAAAATTATTAAAATGGGTTCAATCAACTGGAAATTGGAGTCGAATTGTAGATAATCTTCCGCCAGTTACAAATCCGAAATCACCGTCACGACATCTGTTCCAATAAACACGAAAATTAAATTCAAAATTTGCAAAAATTTTCCAAAAAAATTATTAAAATGGGTTCAGTCGACTGGAAATTGGAGTCGAATTGTAGATAATCTTCCGCCAGTTACAAATCCGAAATCGCCGTCACGACATCTGGTCCAATAAACACGAAAAATGAATTCAAAATTTCCAAAAGATTTCAAAAAATGGTTGAACTAGGATCAATCGACTGAAAATTGGAGTCAAATTGTTGATGATCTTTCGACAGTCACAAACCTGAAATCGCCGTCACGATATTTGTTCCAATAAAGACGAAAATTAAATGAAAAATTTTCAAAAATTTTCCAAAAAAGTGGTTTAAATTTGTTAAATCAATTGAAAATTGGTGTCAAATTGTTTATTATCTTTCACCAGATACACACCTCAAAACGCCGACACGATATCATGAAAATTGACTTCAAAATTTCCAAAACTTTTCCAAAAAAAAATGGTTAAAATGGGTTCAATCGACTCAAAATTGGTGTCAAATTTTAGATTATTTTCCACTGGTTATAAATCTGAAAATGCTGTCACGATATCCAGTTAAAACACGAAACGTAAATTCAAATTTTTCAAAAATTTTCCAAAAAATGGTTAAAATGGGTTCTATCGACTAGAAATTGGGGTCGAATTGTGGATAATCTTCTGCCAGTTAAAAGTCCGAAATCGCCGTCACGACATCTGTTCCAATAAACATGAAAAGTGAATTCAAAATTTTCCAAAAAGTGGTTCAAATTGGTTCAATTGACTAAAATTGGTGTCAAATTGTATGTGATCTTCCGTCAGTTACAAATCTCAAATCGCCATCACGATGTCTGTTTCAATTAATCAAAATTGAATTCAAAATTTTCAAAAGTTTTTCAAAAAAATCGTTTAAATTGGTTCAATACACTGTAAATTGGTGCCAAATTGTAGATATTCTTCCACAAGTTACAAATCTGAAATCGGCGTCACGATATCAGTCTACTCGAATAAACAAGAAAAGTGAATTCCAAATTTACAAAAATTTTCCAAAGAAGTGGTTCAATCGACTAATAATTGGTGTCAAATTGTATGCGATCTTCCGCCAGTTACAAATCTGAAATAGCCGTCACGATGTCTATTCCAATAAACACGACAAGTTCATTCAAAATTTTCCAAAATTTTCCAAAAAAGTGGTTCAAATAGGTTCAAGTGACTGAAAATTGGTGTCAAATTGTATGCGATCTTCCGCCAGTTACAAATTTCATATCGCCGTCACGATGTCTCTTCCAATAAACTTGAAAACTGAATTCAAAATTTTCCAAAAAAAGTATTGAAATGGGTTTAATCGAGTAAAAATTGTTGTTAAATTGTAGATGATTTTCCATTAGTTACAAATTTGAAATCGCCGTCACGATATCTGATCCAATAAACAAAAAAAGTGAATTGAAATTTTCCAAAAAAATTGTCAAAATTGGTTCAATCGACCGAAATTTGGTGTTAAATTGTAGATAATCTTCCACCAGTTACAAATCTGAAATCGTCGTCACGACATCTGTTCCAATAAACATGAAAAGCGAATTCAAAATTTTCAAAAATTTCCAAAAAAATAGTTGAAATGGGTTTGATGGAGTAAAAATTGGTGTTAAATTGTAGATGATCGTCCATCAGTGACAAATCTGAAATAGCCTTCACGATATGTGGTCCAACAAACACGGAAACCAAATTGAAAATTTCCAAAAATTTTCCAAAAAAATGATTAAAATGGGTTAAATCGACTGGAAATTGGAGTTCGAATTGTAAATAATCTTCCGCCAGTTATAAATCCGAAATCGCCGTCACGATGTCTGTTCCAATAAACACGAAAGCTGAATTCAAAATTTTCAAAAATTTTCCAAAAAAATAGTTGAAATGGGTTTGATGGAGTAAAAATTGATGTTAAATTGTAGATGATCTTCCATCAGTGACAAATCTGAAATCGCCTTCACGACATCTGTTCCAATAAACATGAAAAGTGAATTCAAAATTTTCCAAAAAGTGGTTCGAATTGGTTCAATTGACTGAAAATTAGTTATAAATCTGAAATCGCCCTCACCATGTCTGTTCGAATAAATACAACAGTTGAGTTCAAAATTTTCAAAAATTTTCCAAAAAAACAGTTGAAATGGGTTTGATGGAGTAAAAATTCATGTTAAATTGTAGATGATCAGTGACAAATCTGATATCGCCTTCACGATATCTGGTCCAACAAACACGACTACCAAATTCAAAATTTCCAAAATTTTCCAAAAAAATGATTAAAATGGGTTCAATCGACTGGAAATTGGAGTTGGAATTGTAAATAATCTTCCGTCAGTTACAAATCCGAAATCGCCACCACGACATCTGTTCCAATAAAAATGAAAAGTGAATTCAAAATTTCCAAAAATTTTCCAAAAAAATCGTTTAAATTGGTTCAATCCACTGTAAATTGGTGCCAAATTGTAGATAATCTTCCGCCAGTTACAAATCCGAAATCGCCGTCACGACATCTGGTCCAATAAATACGAAAAGTGAATTCAAAATTTCCAAAAAATTTCAAAAAATGGTTGCACTAGGTTCAATCGACTGAAAATTGGTGTCAAATTATTGATGATCTTTCGACTGTCACAAATCTGAAATCGCTGTCACGATATCTGTTCCAATAAACACGAAAATTAAATAAAAATTTTTCAAAATTTTCCAAAAAAGTAGTTTAAATTTGTTCAATCGATTGAAAATTGGTGTCAAATTGTATATTATCTTCCACCAGATACAAACCTCAAAACGCCGACACGATATCATGAAAATTCACTTCAAAATTTCCAAAAATTTTCCAAAAAAAAATGGTTAAAATGGGTTCAATCGACTCAAAATTTGTGTCAAATTTTAGATTATTTTCCACTAATTATAAATCTGAAAACGCTGTTACGATATCTGGTTAAACACGAAAAGTAAATTCAAATTTTTCAAAAATTTTCCAAAAAATGGTTAAAATGGGTTCAATTTACTGAAAATTGGTGAAAAATTCTCGATAACCTTCCACCAGTTACAAATCTGAAATCGTCGTCTCAACATTTTTTCCAAATAAACACGAATAGTGAATTCAAAATTTTCAAAAAAATTTCAAAAAAGTATTTAAAATTGGTTCAATCGACTAAAAATGTATGTCAAATTGTTGATAATTTTCCGCCAGTTACAAATCTGAAATCGCCGTCACGACGTCTGTTTCAATAAACACGAAAAGTGAATTAAAAATTTCCAAAAATTGAAAAAAAAAGGTTAAAATGGGTTGAATCGACTGAAAATTGGTGTTAAATTTAAGCAAAAAATTCCAGCACTTAAACTAGGGTTAAATTTATTTCTACAGGGTATTTGTCAGTTTTTTCATATTTTTTAATTGGTACACTCTGTATTTCATAACAATTTCAAACTTGCTGGGATTTAGCTTAATAAAAATTCTAAAATAACTCAAAAAATGACATCAAAAGAAAGCTCACATCTAGATAAATAATTACTAGAGAGAAAAGTTTAAAATATAGGGTGTCCCATTTGGAAAAGAGAACAAAACTGACAATTTTCAAATCTAATCACCCTGTATTAATAAGTAGAAAAACCGTTCAATTTTGTATAGGTTTTTTAAGGCAAGTTAACTTAAAAGTCGTACAAAATTTCACACCTCGATCTTTAAATATGGCGGAGTTAAAAGTATTTAAATGTGGCTAATTTTTATAAAATTACTGATTAGAAACCTGTATTTCGGGTTTTATTTATTCGTTTTTCGATAAGGACTATACATCCTTAAAAATATACAGGGTGTTACAGTTTGTATATCTGAAAATAATTTTAGGACATCCTATATAATATTATATTCTTCAAACTAAAAAAAAATGTTGTAGGTATATACACTTTTTTATATTTTAAACTATACATTAGAAAAATATATTTTATGTTTTGCGTTTAATTTAGATAAATTTACAAGGTTTTATTTGGTTGTGCGGTGCTGTAATCGTTGTCTGAGTCAAGTGAGCGGGGTAAGTTAAATTTATTCCACTGTCATAGATAATCGTTATTTACGACATAAGTGGGATAAAGGCTTTATTACCCACGATTGTGAGGTTTACTTACAACGAGGCGTTAGCCAAGTTGTGTAGTCACGCGCAACAAAAGATTTGTATCTGTGTTGAAAAATGAATGCGGTAATCCAGCATTACGGCTTCAGTACGGTAATGCAGGTGCTTTCCTTACGAGTGGAATAAGTTAAATTTTTCGAATTGTCGTTGTGATACTGAAAAAAAAAGAGTTTCAGTTTTGACACGTACATTGTGATCATGGTCAAAATAAATTAATCTGTTGCGTAAACATTTAAAAAATTTAAAGAAGATATACTTTGATATTTTTCAGATAAGGTCATCTACTTTCCTGAGGGGATCATAACTAAAATTCCGAACTCAGTTGCGTAATTTCTTCAATCAATGAAAAAATAGATTAAAAAATTGTTAATCTATAGGTGAAGGAGCTTGCAGGTGTCAGTTTTTAAGTTAAAATTAATGTCTTGAAGGAGATGAGTTCTCTTAGTTATCGCTTGGAAATTAAAAGCGTCTAATAATAATTTTCCCCCTTTTTTCTACTTCTAGAATGTGTCGTCGCTCCACTTCTTACCTACTTCGGATGTCATAAATTATTCCTTTAAGTAATTATCGCCCCCCATGACTCTTAATTTGCTCCTCAACACCTAATCTAATAAAACCCCGTCAACTTTACAACCCCATTTCGTAAATTACCAGCGTCTTTAAACAAATCTTTTATCGCCGGATATAATCGTGCTTTCACTCTTTGGTTTGTACGAATGAGATTACTAGACCGAAACGTTATTAATGTACCTAATACGTGTGTTAACGGCCATCCATCGCGTTATGCAATAACTTACATCTACTTAACCAAATTATTTTAAATCATGTCAGCGTGGAGGTACTTTATTGGCCAATTTAATCCGCCGTGTGTGTATATTGAGGATTGGTTTATTTGGTATGCGTGCAATGCGTACCAGATTTAGCAGCCTTATTTTATTATTATATTACTATTACTATCATTATTATTCCCAATGGACACAAGAAAACTCCGCAATCTCTCAACGTAACTGAATTTTTTAACGAAACCTTGACGCTTGCTACAATCGATATTATAATAAAATAGGTGAGGCAGACCTACAAACTATCAAAGTAAGCAAAAATTAGAATTAATTCAAATGAAAGAAAAAATGTGTATTGTTCCGCGAAAGCGAATGTCAGTACGCCATTGTATCAGAAATCCGCCAGGATAGTTTACGTCAATGAGTATTATTGAAAGGAGTGTCGCTTGAAATGAATATGCAAAAATCCTTGCTTCTTTGCCGGATATTCGATATCTTCCTTATGGTTGTAGCTTTCGAAAATTAATATCTTTATTATGTCGTACGGTTGAAATATGGGTGATGTGGTATTAGCTGCCACGCCCGCTGGAAAAAATAATTAATTAGTTGAACAGGTGAATTTTGTAACGGGGATACGGACAAGTAGTGCGTGAATTTAATTAATTTTTTATCGAGAAATTATTATCTATTCTTTTATTATATTATATGGAAGGTTTCCATACTTTTGATTACATTTTTTAGAAAGTCTATAGTCCTTTTGTTCATTCTTTCTCTCTCGTCCTTGTTTCTCTTTAAATGTTATTGTCGTTTACTGTTATCTTTCCTGTTTTAGATATTAATTTTTCATTTTTTTTTACCTTTCATTCATTGTTTATATTTTCACAATTTACAAAAAACGCGCTGCGCCTACTTAAGCCATACCCATTTTCCTACGGACCATCCACTTCACCTTGACTCCGCCCCTAATTCTGCTCTGGCCACGTCTCCACCACGCCCCATTTTCCTATTTCTCCCTCTCTATCTTTCGAGTCCGACAAATCCTGACCTGACTCGACATATCTGGCCTTAAGTTGACATCCGAGGAGAGAAAATTGTCATTTAACACACAACATTGCCCTTCAAATTATATAAACAACATTAAATTCTGAAGAAAAAAAAAATTAAGAGATCTAAATTTTAGGCGACAAAGAGGAAATTCTAACATCTCGAACAAGTTTCTATGTAGCTTCAGGCTTTCTCCGGTCCAACATTCGATCGTGTCACGAAGAGTCACGTAAAAGCAGGTTCTTTATTTTGTTTTGGTTTTTATATAACATTACGTATTTACCATGGAACAAATTTTTCTAAAAAACAACTAATTGCTTTAGCACAGATTTTAAAATAAACACTAATTTTAAACCACCATCAAGAGAACAAATAATTGGCCGACTTTGCCTTTTTCGATTTTCCACCAGTTTCTTAATCATTGTTAAGCTATTGCCATTTCCATAAAAAAACCGGCATAAATAAGCCCGAACATGTTTTAAATAATTACGACACTGCCAAACACCCAATCACACAATTTCGCAATTCATTAATATGTATGATTTTTATCCGCTGGCCGTATCGCTTCAACAGTGAAAATGCCGTAAATTGTCCCCTAATCACCTTAATTCCGATTTGCGCCGTTTACTCGGCTGACGCCTCGTAACGAAGTTATTTGCATTTCAGGAAAAAGAAGTCACCGATGTCATTGACAAGTGCTGTTCCGGGTACATGGAGGACATCACCACGGGCTTGTGCTTACCGGATTGTCCGGGGTGCTCCAAGGGGACTTGCCTGGCTGGGGAGTGTTCCTGCTTTCCCGGATACAAGGGGGAGATGTGTAACGTTGGTGGGTATTGTGGGTGGGATTTTGACTGGAGTAACTGGGTCAGGTGGCCTTGGTAAATTAGGTTTTTGTGGTAGGCAGAGACGGTGGTTTTGTACACCATTTCCTGATTTAGCGAGCTATAATAATTTGTAATTGAGTTATCCTTGGAACTGGAAACCTATTTTTCTAATGCCTGAAAAGTGGCAAACTAAGTGGCATGCAAGAAAAATACATGTCAAATATGATAGCAAAAAAAACACGTCAGTCAGTCATAGCAGCCAACAAAAAGAAAAAAAAACATGACCCACTCAGGAGGGTCAGGTCAGGTTAAATCATGAATAATTCTATCAATGTCACTACCGGCTCTCGAGATTGTTTCACATTCTTTTAATAACGGTACGGGAGCCTCAGAAATTGTTTCTCATTCTTAAACAAAAAGACACAAGAGGCATATGTGATTTTTTCATTTTCTTAAAAAAAAAGACCAAAATGATATCCGAAATTGTTTCACATTCTTTAAAAAAGGCAGAGGGAGATCACGAAATTCTTACATTCCAAAAAGAGGCATCAAGGTCCCCCGACGAGATTATGTGTCTAATAAAAATCTGGACAGATGGCAGACAGACAGACAGACTGAAATGGGAAACCTATTTTTTATACTCTAGGGGTCATGAAACGCTAGAAAACACAATAAAACGCTTTACAAGTAACGTTTCTAAAATTTTTCAACGAATTTTTTAAATCTACAAATGCCAGAATGTGAAAAATTAATCAGTCTCTCAATCAGTCAGACAGTCAGACAGTCAGACAGTCCGTCAGTTAGTCAATCAGTCAATCAGTGAGTCAGTGACCCAGTCACACATTCAGTGAGTTAACTAGTCAGCCAGTCACTCACTCAGTCATTCAGTCACGCATTCAGTTAGTAAGTCAGACAGTCAGTTAGACACCCACTCATTCATTCAGTCCGTCGGTCAGTCAGTCAGTCGGTCAGTCGATCACTCAGTCCCTCAATCATTAACTCAGTCAATGAGTCAGCCACCCACTTGTTCACTCACCCAGTCAGTCAGTCATTCAGTCAGTCAATCAATGATCCAGTCAGTTGGTCTATATTTTGCGAAACAAAAATTAATCATTATTTCCTTCTTTATCTATTGTATACCGAGTTATTTTGACGGAACTGTAAAAATTGCTATATTTCAATTGACCATTTTGGAAAAATGGTAGAAATTTTCGAAGAAATGAACCCGAAAATGACTTCTGGATTTCGAAGTCTACAAGAAAATGACTTCCTAGTTGAAAAATTGTCGAATATGTCAAAAATGCCAAAATCAATTTTATCTTATCAAATATTAGCCCCGCCCACCCACCCTCTATTTTCTTAAAAGGTATGTGATTTGCCAAAATCAGTCTTATCTTAGCAAGAACTAGCCCCCCCCCCCTCTTCTCATTCTAACGAGTAATTTTATTTCTTTTCAGTATAAGATCATTCATTTCATTCAAATCGGATAAAATCGATCAGTAAAAAGCAGACAGGGTGGGTGGGCGGGGCTAATTATGTTCCTGACTTGTTCTTACTTTTCTATTGTCTCAAATAAACAAATTTTAAACAGTTCTGTGAATATATAAAAGCCATATTTTGTCCATGTTTGTTTAATATATAAAGTCTTCCTTTCCCAACAAAAAACTGACAATATATTTAACTATCCTGTTGTTGAGAGAAAATTCTCTGTATTAAAAAAAAGCAAAAATTAAGCCCCACCCACCCACCCCAATCTCAATTATGATGTGTTTTTCATTCCTAATCAGACGTGGGACGGAGTTTAATTGTAACCTATTATTTCTCTAGAAAATTCTACTCTTTTGAGAACATATTTCATATGGTAAATTCTTGTAAAGAAATGAGGATTTTACAACTAAAGTCTGCCCTTCAGCTCATGATGAATAAAGCATTCATCACAATAGAGAAGGGGTGGGTGGGCGGGGCTTATATTTTGTCCATTTTTGCTTAATATTTGAACTCTTCTTTTCCCAACAAGAAACTGACAATATGTTTAACTATCCTGGTGTTCAGAGAAAATTCTATATATTAAAAAAGAAAACAAAAATTACGCCCCACCCACCCTCCTTGATCTCAATTGTAATGAGTTTTTCATTCTTAATCAGATCGAAGGGCGGAGTTTAATTGTAACATCAATATTTCTCTAAAAAATTCCACCTTTTTAAAAACATATTTCATATGGTAATTTCTTGTAGAGAAATGAGGATTTTGCACTAAACTTCGCCCTTCGGCGCACGCTGAATAAAGTATTCATCACAATCGAGAAGGGGTGGGTGGGCGGGGCTTATATTTGGTCCTTTTCGTCTTAATATACGAAGCCTCCTATTCCCAACAAGAAACTGACAATATGTTTAACTATTCTGTTCTTTAAATAATTGTATTTTTTGAAACAAAAATGAATGATTATTAACTTTTTTATCTACAAAATTTTTATACCGAGCTATTTTGACGGAACTGTAAAAACTGCTATATTAGAATTGGCGATTTTGCAAAAACAGTAGAAATTTTCGAAGAAATGTACCCGAAAACGACTTCTGGATTTCGAAGTTTACAAAAAAATGACTTCAACTTTTTCAAAAATAATTGAAAATTGGTCGAAAATGGCAAAAGTACCAAAATCAGTTTTATCTTATCAAATATTAGCTCCGCCCACCCACCCTCTATTTTCTTGGAGGGTATGTGATTTGCCAAAATCAGTCTTATCTTAGCAAGTACTACCCCCCCCCCCTCTTCTCATTCTAACGACTAATTTTATTTCTTTTCAGTATAAGATCATTCATTTTGTTCAAATCGGATAACATCGATCAGTGAAAAGGAGACAGGGTGGGTGGGCGGGGCTAATTATGTTCTTCTGTTGAGTGAGAGTAGAAAAAGGACGTGAAAAAAGTTAAAAAAAATCGCCAATCGCAAGTTTTTTTGTTATACTATTTGCTATAAAATTTATTTCTTATTTCATGCACCTGACCTGATTTGGCTTACGTGACCTGACTTGTTCTGACTTTTCTATTGTCTCAAATAATCAAATTTTAAACAGTTCTGTGAATATATAGAAGCCACGAAGTACATTCTTTAAATAATTGTATTTTTTGAAACAAAAATGAATGATTATTATTAAGTTTTTTATCTACAAAATTTTTATACCGAGCTTTTTTGACGGAACTTTAAAAATTGCTATATTTCAATCGGTGATTTTGGAAAAACAGTAGAAATTTCCGAAGAAATGTACCCGAAAACGAGTTCTGGATTTCGAAGACTACAAGAAAATGACTTCAACTATTTCGAAAATAGTGGGCGGGGCTAATTATGGTCTTCTGTTAAGTGGGAGTAGAAAAAGGATGTGAATGATGCGTCAATCCTAACTTTTTTTTGTTATACTATTTGCTATAAAATTTATTCCTTATTTCATGCACCGGACCTGATTTGGCTTAACGTGACCTGACTTGTTCTGACTTTTCTATTGTCTCAAATAAACAAATTTTAAACAGTTCTGTGAATATATAAAAGCCATAATTTGTACATTTTTAATATATCAAGGCTTCTTTTCCCAACAAGAAACTAACAATATATTTAACTATCCTGTTGTTGAGCGAAAATTCTTTATATTAAAAAAAGCAAAAATTAAACCCCACCCACCCACCCCAATCTCAATTTTTTATGAGTTTTTCATTCCCAATCAGACCAGGGACGGGGTTTAATTGTAACCTATTATTTCTCTAGAAAATTCTACTCTTTTGAGAACATATTTCATGTGGTAATTTCTTGTAAAGAAATGAGGATTTTGCAACTAAACTCCGCCCTTCAGCTCACGATGAATAAAGCATTCATCACAATAGAGAAGGGGTGGGTGGGCGGGGCTTATATTTTGTCCATTTTTGCTTAATATTTGAAGTCTTCTTTTCCCAACAAGAAACTGACAATATGTTTAACTATCCTGCTGTTGAGAGAAAATTCTATATATTAAAAAAGAAAACAACAGTTAAGCCCCACCCACCCGCCCTGATCTCAATTGTAATGAGTTTTTCGTTCCTAATCAGATCGAAGGGCGGAGTTTAATTGTAACATCAATATTTCTCTAAAAAATTCTACCTTTTTAAAAACATATTTCATATGGTAATTTCTTGTAGAGAAATGAAGATTTTGCAGCTAAAATCCGCCCTTCAGGTAACAATGAATAAAATATTCATCAGAATTGAGAAGGGGTGGGTGGGCGGGGCTTACATTTAGTCCATTTTTTCTTAATATACGAAGTCTTCTTTTCCCAATAAGAAACTGACAATATGTTTAATTATCCTGTTATTGAAACAAAACTCTATATATTAAAAAAAAATAAGCCCCACCCACCCGCCCCAATCTCAATTTTGATGACTGTTTCATTCCTAGTCAGACCGAAGGGCGGAGTTTAATTGTAAAATCAATATTTCTCTAAAAAATTCCACCTTTTTAAAAACATATTTCATACGGTAATTTCTTGTAGAGAAATGAGGATTTTGCGACTAAACTTCACCCTTCGGCGCACGATGAATAAAGTATTCATCACAATTGAGAAGGGGTTGGTGGGCGGGGCTTATATGTTTAACTATTCTGTTCTTTAAATCATTGTATTTAAAAAAAAACAAAATGAATGATTATTAACTTTTTTATCTACAAAATTTTTATACCGAGCTTTTTTGACGGAACTTTAAAAATTGCTATATTTCAATTGGCGATTTTGTAAAAACAGTAGAAATTTCCAAAGAAATGTACCCGAAAACGACTTCTGGATTTCGAAGTTTAAAAGAAAATGACTTCAACTATTTCGAAAATAGTTGAAAATTGGTCGAAAATGGCAAAAGTGCCAAAATCAGTTTTATCTTATCAAATATTAGCCCCGCCCACCCACCCTCTATTTGCTTGGAAGGTATGTGATTTGCCAAAATCAGTCTTTCTCATTCTAACGACTAATTGTATTTATTTCTTTTCAGTA